CCAGTATTCCTGCAGAAACTCCAGCTGCCTATAGCTCTGAGAGCATTCTTCTCAAGATGTCACACAACAGCAAAAATAGCCCCAGTTTTTTTCCACAGTGAACATACGCAGCAATAAAGCAAAATAACAGCTTAAATTATTTTCCTTTTGTTCTACAGCAGGCTCTTTTAATGTTCTTTGCTATGAATACTACCAAAGAGTACAGCCAGCAGTCACCTGGGTTTCAGTTACAACTGGTTCAGTATCAATAAGCCAATTCAAACTTTTCTTCTTAGTCTCCAAATCCCAAGTACAGATAACTCTTCTCAATATCCCTTTTTGACTAGTGTAGCGAGACTTGGGAGGGTGCCAATAGCTGGAAGGTCAATACAGGATATTCCAAGGCCTGATCAGCTCCTTGGGGAGCACAGTTTACTATTTCAAGTGACTATGAAGATTTAAAAACAAATGAACTATGGATTTTTTATAAACAGAAACATGTCCACTGGGAAAGGTGCTCTCAACTAGAGAATACAGCAATGTAGAACTGAGATGCTTCAGCTAGTACAGAACACAGTGGCTCCTTTCATGAATGGGAGAACTGTTTTGAGTAAAACAGTTCCAGTGACCCTTCGTTTGCATTTGCTTATGTATGCATTTTCCTGAGAAACAAAGGGCTATATCTATAAACTTTCAAATCAAATGATGTTCCAATCAACTTTGAATCTAGCCTGGTTATGCTGAAATGAAAACTTTAGTTATTTGACACCTTTCTTTTTTACTTGTATACTAGCCTATGAGGACGGACTCCTAGGGGAACCTATACACATGATGGAGCTGTGCTCCAACGTGTTAGCACATGTCACTGCAGACTCAATTGAATCTGCTGAGACTCTGCTGGAGCATGCTAATTAACATGCTCCAGCAGCCTCTGTATCACGTGTATTCAGCATCCCTGCATTTCAAAATGGTGGCAGGGCACTTTAACTAAAGCGCTTCGAACAAGCTTTAGTTAAAGCACTCCTACCGCCATTTTGAAGTGCAGGGCACTGAATACATGTAATGCTACAGGTGCTTTAAGTAGAGAGGCTTTCAGAGCTGGTCTGATTAAAGCACCCCATCCCGCTCCACCCAGAGCATGTGTATAGACACCTCTATTGCTGTTGGTTCCAGACTTTAAACTTTTCAAAGCCAGAAAAAAGGCATCCTCCAAAGAGGCACTGGGTCTTTGCAATCCACTCCTTCTAGCAGAGCCCAGGTGTGGCAAGCATCATGGCAGAATGTGAGGTTTTGATTGAGCTTTCAGTAATACAAAATAGGAATTCTTGCTAAGAAACAGGATGTTGTTCTGCATATTATTACTTTGTGATTACATATTAACTGTTTGTGATAGATAACATGTAAGTATTTGGGGGGAGGATAGATAGACCTAGAAAATGTGGATTTCAACACACCCACAATAAAAACCTTGTTTCTTAAAGTGTAATCATCAGTCAGCCAGACCCTAGAAAGAACACAGAGTGTGGGTTACAGAGAAGTGCACAAGCTGCCTAAAAGATTTCCTCTACTCACTAGTATCCTGGTGAACAGTGGCAATGTATACAGGGTGCACCTAGGTGCATGCGCACCCCCTACAAAAAGGCGGCACCAACACTGTCGGCGGCACCTGCGGATGGTTGCTGCTCACCACCCCGCTGCCGACACCAATGGCAGTGTCTATGGGCACTCTGCGATCCCCACTGGCTGCTGCTGGGTCTGTGGGTGGTTGCTGACCCCTGGTTGGCGCTCACCACCCCTCCTCCCCACCGCTGACAGTGCCAGCAGCGTCTGCAGGAGCTCCCCCACTTGCTGCCGCTGTGCCCCCCAGCCACCAGGGGCATGCGTCGTTCATGATGGTGAAGTCTGTGTAGGGCCTCTTCCATGTGTGGCTAAACGCAAGGGCTCTCACACCTCCCTTGGGAAGGAACTGAAAACACCATAGAAAGCTGGCAAGCTACTAAGGCGATGCCCTATTTCCTTCAACCGCTTTTCTCATCTCCCTTCCCTAATTGCTAACAAACCAGTGTAGGGTGACTCTACCAGTAGAAGGATTACACTTACTTACACTGGTGGGATTCTCTCTCAGTTAGAGAAAATCTAATAAGATCTCTTAAAATTGTATCACAGTGATCCATATGCTATGGAATCTCAATTACAGATTCAGAAATGAGCTTTCTACCCAATATTGGACAGAAGGAGGCAAAGCAAACCGAACTTCAGCTTCCTAAGTGAAGAGGGCTATACAGGCAGTCCTCAACTTACAATGTTTCGAGTTACAATGTTTCACACTTACAACATTTATAAGTTGACACCCTGTTTCAACTTTCTGACATCAGTTTTAACTTTACAATGCCTGATCTGATACCATGCCATGCCAGTGAACACATTCATCACCCATCTTCCTGGAAAACATCTGTCCAAGCTTCCTTGGATGCTTTCTTTAAGAAGCCTCCAGCCAAGAGCCCTTCAAAAAGTCCAACCAAGAGCCCTTCAAAAAGTCCAGCAAAGTCACTTCAAAGAAGTCCTTCCAAATCAGTGTGATTGCCAATTACAATATAGATACATTCATGTAGCTATATTATTCATCTATAATTAATTGAGTACAAAAGTATGGGTTATTTTTGGTGAAAATAGGGTATCGGGCCTTGGTTCAGGAACAAGTCCCCCATTTATAACATTGTTTCATATGGGAAAATCGGTTCTAAGTTACAACATTTCAACTTATTATGTCGTAAGTCCGAGGACTGCCTGTACATCCAATCCGCTTCTCCCATAAAACAGGGTAAAATGCAATTTTGTCATTGAGTAAAGCAAGTGGATGCAAGCCTGCTACGCCCCCGTGAGCCCATGGACCCCCAGAAGAGCTCCCAGGACCCCCGACAAGCCCTGGCCTGCCCGCAGGTAAGCAGGGGCCCGTGGAGGGTGGGACTAGTCAACTTAGTCAGCTGGGAGCCGGCTGAGTGGGGGTGGGGAGGGACACGCCCCCCCCTCGGCTCCTACTTGGCCCAGACGCCCGGGGGGTGCACAACTGGGCTGCCGCTGTGCGTGCCAATTTAGGGGGGGAGCAGTCACCTGCTCCTTCCCTTGATGGGGTGGGGAGGGACTCCCGTTAGCCCCCCAAGAGCAGTGAGGCACCAGCTGGCCCTTCTGTGCATGCGCACGGCTTAAAAAAGGCCCAGCAATGGCAGAAGCCTCATTTAGGTCTGGGCTTCAGTGCGAGACATGCGGGTGTAAGCCCGCTGTGCCCCCATGATCCCAGGGACCCCCAGAAGAGCCCCCCAGGACCCCCGACAAGCCCTGGCCTGCCCACAGGTAAGCAAGGGCCCATGGAGGGTGGGACTAGCCGACTTAGTCAGCTGGGAGCTGGCTGAGTGGAAGTGGGGAGGGACACACTCCCCTGCAGCTCCTACTTCACCCAGCCCCCCAGGGAGCCGCGCGAACAAGTTGCACAAACAGGCGCACTCCTGGGCCCAGCACGCAAGTTAGCGTGGGAGTTTGCACAGCAGGGTGTGCGGGAGGGCCCAAGGCCCTGCCTGTGAGCCCCCTAGGGTACGCAGTCCCACCCACAGCCAGCCTACCAGCAGCATGCTGGTCCCCTTGGGGTCTGCGGCCCTCCCCCTCTGGCACCTCTGAGGCCTCCACCCAGATGGAGCCCATGGTTCTGAGCTCCACGCAGACGGAGCCTCTGGCTCTTGGCTGCGGGGGCTGCCTGTCACTTTTTCAGTGTCTGGGGCCCAGGAGCATGGCCACCTCCCCTTGTGAGAACTGCTCCCTTTTGGAGTCTCTGGCGTGCCAGCTGGAGGAGCTCCAGGCCTCAGTCCAGAGACTGCGTGCCATCAGGGACTAAGCAGGAGATGGACTACTGCCAGGCCCTTCTCCCTCAGGAGACAGAGGGTAGACTATGGTCTCCCTCCAGGACAAGGGAGGACTTGAGGACCTCCCTTACTGTCCAGCCAAGGGGTTGGACCAAGGTGGTCAAGTGCCCCAAGGCCTGCTGCACCAGTGTCCCTGCCCTACTTAAGCTTTGCAACAGGTACGAACCTATGCAGCCCAAGCAGAGCCTCCAGCACCCACAGGCAACAAAGGCTGAACTGTAGCCACTGCCCTGCTCTCCCCAAGACAAAACGCAAAGTGTTTGTCATAGGAGACTCCATCCTGAGGGGGACTGAGGGGGCAATCTGCCGTCCCAACCCGTTAGCCCGGGAAGTTTGCTGCTTCCTAGGACCCCTTTTCCGAGGCGTTATGGAGAAGATCCCTGAGCTCCTCCAGCCCACTGACCAGTACCTTTTGCTCCTTATCCATGTGGGCACCAATGACACACCTCAGAGCACTGCCAGCCAGGTAATGAAGCACTACAGGGATTTGGGAGAGGGACTAAAGGGTTTGTGGGCACAGGTGTTGTTTTCTTCAGTCCTCCCAGTCTTGGGCTACAGGCTGAGGAGGGAAAGGAGGATCCAGGTAGTGAACCAAAGACTGTGGCACTGGTGTCATCGGGAAGGCTTTGGCTTCCATGACCACAGCCC